GGCACCCCGAAAGCAGGGATTTCATAAACGCCATGGTGTTAATGAGTAGTGAGCATACCGAGTACGTGATAGTCCCTCGGCTGCTGAGATTAATGAAGGTTTTCCTTTAGGCAGCAGCCTTCACGTTTGCGACAGATTCCACAGGTTTGCAACTCCTAAAGTCCTATGTGCCCTAGCAGGGACACCAAGTTAAAGTGTTGATATCCCATTTTTCTCCAGAYTTATTTCAACAGGATTTCATCACAAAGAGAAGTTAGAGTGAAGAGAGCTTCCAGAGAGACTTTTCTGTCTGGGCTTCTTGAAATGCTGTATTTAAGAGCTGAACACAGGCACTCCAAAACGCTAATGCTGACAGCATTCAAGTTGCATTTACCAATTACTAATGGAAAATGAAGTGAGTTTGTTTTAGTTGGCAAAACTCTCTTGCAGAGAGTTTGGGAAAGAATAGCAAAGCCAAGGCAGTGCTGACCATAGGAACTAGAATAAAGGAAAAGAAGGAAAACGGGTGTTTATTGAATGGGAGGGTAACAACTTCTGGCTCCTTCCTGACTTACCTTTGCTATTGTGAGCTTCTGACTACCATGTTACCACTTTGATGGGGGTTTAAGGTGACAGAAAATGAACATAGAGTTACATGAGATTTACACTGGACCATTTTCCCTCTGAAAACAAAATTTAAGAAAATTTAGCACTTCTGTATTGACCTAGAATTAGGGGAAAAAGAGAGTGTGTTGGGGACAGGCTGGGGCACATCTTGCACAGACYGTTAGTGGAAAGGGTAAACAGGAGAGCTGGGATTCAGCACTTGACATCATTAGGCCTAAGGTCTCTTGCCGAGCTGGAAATCAGCCTGGGCCTCCTCTGCTCTTACTTCTGTTGATGTTGGATTGCCAACAGCAAACAGCTATGACTGTTAAGTGCAGGTTTCCACCCTCCCACTGCCCTAGTGCTGTGACTTAAGGAGTCATAGAGTATTTACCCTTCCTCTATATATTTACTAACTAGTATAGGCAGACACAAATTTCCAATGACTAATACTCCTCTGGCAAGGTGAGTCATCGTAAAGAAAAGGTTGTTTCAGCTTGTTCCCTGGATTATACTGGTTTATAATCCAGTCAGAACTCCAAAAAGGCCAGGCCAGGAGCATCAACACCTATAACACTCCATAGAAACAGAGGGAAACTTGGAGACGTATTTGTAGCTGCAAGCTGCTTGAGAGATGATGGCAAGCATCTTGGTATGAATTTAGCCTTTTTCTGCCTGTTTCCCACCTCTCCAAAAGGTACAATCGTTCCCTACTTCCCAAGGTTATTGTGAGAATTATTCAGTCAGCATGCTTCTATCACTAAGTGTGATTTCTGAAATATTTTTCCATTCCATTCTAAGTCACCCAGACTTCACCCAGACCGCTTGTATTCCTTGCCTAGGAATACAAATTCATCTCACCCTTGTTTAAGTGTTTATTCCTYTTTGCAGATACCCATATGCTGCTTTCTCCCACTGCAAAATGCCCTTGATAGTGTTACTTTTGGACACCTGAAAGCATTTTAACAGCCACACTATATTTTTTCTTAGTGGTGAAATAACCACCAAAGGAAAAGTATTTCTTTTCCAGTATTTCTTTTTCAGTTAGTGTTGGTGAATGATTTATACTTCCCAGTGCTCACTASTAAAATTTCTAATTGCTTTGACTCTTCAGTGTTATAATCCTAGCACACATTTATAAAGCACCTTTCAGTCCAGAGATCATAGACAGTTAACTCATGTGAATTGCATCTTTATATATATATTTTCTCTGGAAAAGAACACATTTCTTTTTCAATTATAGACCAATTTTTTTTKACTTATGTAGTCAAAAATATAGTATATTTTGATTATAGATCAAAATATTTGCAGTGTCTTAAATGTGATGTGTACTAGCCAAATGAAATTGCACAAGGAACCTGAGAAAGGAAAATGCTCTGCAGGTTCCTGTAATCAACTTCATGCCAGCACTGCCAACCCTGCCAAGGTATTTTTAGCTATGGCACACAGTTGAACATTTATTTAGGGATGAGAGAGGTACCCAAATCTGGAGGTGGTGACCATTTTAATTATGGTCCTGCTGCCTTCTGATCATCCAAGTCATCCTCCCACACACAACCTTCCTTGGCCTGAAAACATCTCCTTTCTTTTTTCCCCTCCTGCCACAATCCTACTGTCCCCTGTAGTGTTACAATGTCAGTTTTTCTTCATTTCTACCTATCGTGGTTACCTCCAATTTCTTTCCCAAGCACCAAACTACTTCCCCATCCAAGACTGACTACCAGATACTATATGTTAACACAAGGAAACCTCCACAGTCTTTTAGGTTTACGGAGGAAGGCAAGTAACCCTTTGTATGGACCAGCATCAAAATGCTGCGTTTTAGGAAACATCAGCTCATATTTCTATCCCTATACAAATAATATGCTGCAAAACATTAAATTTGCACTGTTTATATGGCACAAGGTCTCAGTACAAGTCTCATGGTAAAGGTGCAATATATTGTAATGCATATTAGAATTTTTGATAAAATTCTTACACTAAAGTTCAGAAGTAATTCAAGCAGCAGCAGCTCTGCTTAGGAACCCAGCACGTTCACAGGTGACATCCAAATCTGCTTACTAGGCTGCATTACCAACAGTATAGTCAAGTGGCTCAGTAAAATGATTATTCCTTTCCATTCAGTATTTATGAGATGATGTTTGGACTGAGTAAAATGAGTATTTCTTTCTATTTAGCTTTTATGAGAAGACATTTGGAGAGCTATGCCCAGTCTGGGGCTCCTCAGTAAAAGGGAGACTCAGAAATTGGAGCAAGTCCTGTGGAAAGTCTCCAAAGTGGTTTGGGGCATCTGACATAGCATGAGGAACAGAGAGCTGTTGTTGGTCAGCCTGAAGTAGAGACCTATGATTCCTGCCTTCTACTATTTAATGCGTCCTTATAGCGAAGATGGAGCCAGACAGTTCTTAAGAGTTGCACTTTGAAAGGCTGAAAAGCAAAGCACACCCTTCCATCAGGAGAAATTCAAGGTAAATATAAGGAGAAGGGTGGCCAAAGCTTTGAATAGGATGCCCACTGAGATTGGGGGATTTCCATCCTTGAAGATACACGGCCTGGGCTGGACAAGGCCCTAGGCAAACTGGCCTAACAATGAAATTAGCCTTGTCTTGAGTGGAGATTGGACCAGATGATCTTTAAAGGTTCCTTCTAACCAAAATTATTTTGTGATTCAGTAATTCTAACTACATCCAAAGGTGAATAGGGACAGGGAAACACACAAGAAAAATAAGCCAATTTATGCTAGGTTTGCCCAATCTAAGTTTTCCCCACTAGCCTTTAATACCAAGAGCAATTGAAGATTATTCATCTTCAAAACCAGATTATAAATAGAGAAGTCCCTTGAGCCTTTATGAACAAAATCTTTATGTGGTCCAGTTTATTTTGCTACTKAGTGTTTTTCAAAGGTTTATTTAGAAGATGCGTCACCATTAGATAAACAAGCATTGGCAATACCAGCATTTGTTTAATAACTATTGAGCATACAATATTGTTCTTCCAATAAAACAACTTCCTGAAATTGAAATTCCATTAGCAAAAAGCACAAATAGAAGGAGACCTGGCACCAAAATATTGCTGCTCAAACAATAGGGCTGAAAGAGCAACGCCCTCCTGCAGAGCTCAGTGGAAATGCTGGTCTGACACATACGGAAACATGCCAAGCCCAACCAGTGATCTGCTCTAAAAGGATAAGATCCCCCCAAATCCRAGCAATTAAGCTCAAAACCAATACAAGGAGCTTGAAAATGATAGTAAACTGCAGGATGTCACTGTTTGCTAAACTCATGGGTGGCTTAATGCTGAATCTGAGATGAATTGCATAAGAAAAAKGAGTTTTTTACATTAAAAAGAGATTAGGAAGGCAAACACAATGCAATAACAGGATTCAGCAATTCCAAACAGAACATAAAAATGTTTTGTGCTTGAAGACTATACTAAACTTCCCTCTGAGAGCATATTATGAGATCATAACAAAAACAAAAATATCCTGACATCTTGAGAGAAAAATGAGTGACTTATTAGACCTATTGATAAAGCTGGAAAGCACAGAGAAGCTTCCAGGCATGCAGGTCATGCAGGTGCTTCTTTGGATCTGGAATAGAAACAGCAAGCTTCAAAGCTGAATCCAGGGTAAGAACAACTGTGCTGAGTTAGAACATCTGCTTTGCTTGATTTTTTTTCTTTTTTAAAAGACTATAAATGATGATCTGGGAAATAGGTTTAAGCAGCACTGTATTTTTTTTTTTTAACCTAAAGAAGGGATGCAATGAGAAAGGGGTCTACTGAGTAGAACTTACCCTGCAGCCAGACCACATTGATTTTCAGAGAGATTTACAAGCCTGTTTATTTACCTTGCTTTAGAAAATCYTGACCAAGTCACTTGGCTGCTTTGGGGGGGCTTCACTTGCACTCTGCAAAGCAGTAAACGAGTCAAGGAAGTGCCAGGGAATGGCTACACACGGGTCCCTGTGTCAAACCCAACGGTGGCTATGGAGGGTCAAGGATGCAGGACAATGAAGCTTACCTCAATTGCTCTGCTTGTAAAGCCAAAGCTTAAGGTGAGACATGAGCACAGCCAACAAGCAGTGGCCAGAGCAGTAAAGCACGATCTGAGGTTGCTCGGCTGTAATGCATCTTTTAGGCTAGTCCTGCTACCAAATTAGATATTGTTGTCTAAGTTTGTCATTTGCATTTATTGCAACTTTTCATGAGAGGGGGCAGGGAGCGGGAAGCAGAAAAGCAATTTCCTGATGATAGCCATGCAGGAATTTCTGAAGCTGTTACTTTTTCAGCCACCCCCAGCAGTTTCCTTGTTTTCAGAGCGAGCACATGATATCACATCCTGAGCCCTTCCCTTTTCTTGCAGCTTGCTGAGGCACTAGGAGGAGTCCGGCCACGGGGAGCGTGCGAGCGGGTCCGGAGCGACCGGAGCGGTGCAGCGGAGCCGCCTCTGCCCTCGCCCGGCTCCCGCTGCCGCAGCACGGGCTGCCGGCCCCAGGAGCACGGAGCACGGTGAGTACCAGCGGGAAGCGAGCGGCGAGCCCACGGAAGGTCACGAAGGTGCATGCAGGTTTGTGTGTGTGCCCTGTGAGGGACACACAGATGAGAAAGGAGAACCCACTTTTGTTCTGCATTCCTGATCAAGTTGTTTCCTGGCCCAGCTGGGGTAAGCAGGCGGGATGGCAAAGGAGGAGGAGGCACCCAGGGTGCCGGGATGGGACTGTGGGCAGGAAAGGAGCGAGGTGCCTCTGTGCTGAGAGGCAATAGAGCATTTGCTGTGGACAGACAGGAAAAAACAACTGCTGAACGTACATGCAAGTGGCCCCGGGTGAGCACGTGGCCGTGCATTAACACTATATGACAGGGATCTCTGTTCTTAATCATGTTTGACTTAATGAATGCAGTAGTGCTAGCTAGTAGTAAACAGAATAAAAAGAGAATAAAAGAATTAGTTTCCTGTAGTAATCACTGCTCATCCCTAAAGCGCAAAGGCTGAGTAAACATATTAACTGTGAGTCATGGGTTCTTCTTAGTGTAACTACATAATCTTGTTGTTGTTCTTAATTCTACACTTTTTCATCTCACTATTTAAGCTTTGTAGTACAGAATGAAAGAAGGTAACTGTAAAGTCCCTGCCGTTCTTGTTTTGTCTTAGATATTCCTGCAATGCTAGCTGAGCAGAAGCTAGTTACAGGAACTATATATTTATAGTATGTAAATAACATGTAATGTTTTAGAATACACAGTGCAAAGAATGCTGTAATTAAATATTCTACCTGCATGTCTATTTAGAAAATGATATTGTAGAGTTACTTATTAACATAGAAAATAGAAGGGACAGAACCCCTGTGTTTTTCCTGTGAATGTTTCCCATATAGACCAACCAACACCAACTTTCTGGTTTGCAAAAGGTCTGTGAAACAAAGCAGGGATCMTATTGCATGTAAAGGCCTCACAGTGTTTTTGGGTTGGACCAACAGGAAGCACTAGTGATAATTTTGTGAATAAATAAGATAGCAGTAGCTAGCTTGAGAATGCAAACAGGTTGCGCCTTTTCCCCAAGCAGTGTTTGGTAGTGCAAGCATCTCCAATGTGTCATTGATCACACCACTTTATCTGTTTTTATTTTGCTCACTGCAGTTTTGATCAGCTCATTCACAGGGACACACAGCAACGTTGGTTGTTTTCTGTCATTTCAGCTTTTTCGTGAGCTTTCTGGCAAAGAAATGTAAGGTAAAAAAAAAAAGGTCTTTAAGTTAAAAGCTGCTGGACCCTCTTCTACTGCTGACAGAGCTAATTTTGTGACATAACGACCCTGCCATTTCCTAAACATAGTTAGGGGCAGAGTGGAAGGATATTAAAAATGGGCTAGTGTCCTGCTTGGCCCAGCCAAGGAGCTTTCAGGGCCTTGTGGCACCAGGCACGATAACCGGCCCGTCTCCAGGAGTCTGCCTGGCAGGGACCRGAGCCTCATGGTAAATTGGCTGCTGAATCAACCTCACCAAATCGGTTTTTGTTAATACCTACCAGTTATTAGGTGACTTCTGCTCAGAAATGTTCGAGTTTTAAATCCTTTTATTTCTTATGATATTAGAGCAGGTATTCTTGTGTCCATATAAATGTTTGGCTCTTGAATTCACCAAGTTATTGGCTCCAGCAATGTTTTCCAGGAGTGAGTTCAGTAAAGTTTTGTTTTGTTTTGATTTGTTAAGAAGCATAACATCCATTCTCCAGGTGGAAATCTGTGGCTTTTCATTTCCATTAGAGATAAATGTGCTCACAGATAATGAGAAAAATTCACCTTAGTCTTCTACAGTTGTGTGCCCTGCTGAAAAAGGACCATTTATTTTTACTGTTAGTTATAGTTTAGCTTAGTCAGTGTCTAGTTTGTGGCTATACTTTTTCAATTTATAAACTCTTTTCAAGGGCTTCACCCACTGTTCTTTTCTGTAGTCAATTATTTTGTTGTCATGGTTTGAAATTTCACAGATGAAAGAGATGTGAGTTTCCTTTATAGAAACCACCCAACTCTGCTCTTGTATCCTGTTTATATGTTTAATAATAATTTTTCTGCCACCTTCCATCCAAGAACTTTTAGGTGTGTAGCAAATGTGAGATTAATTAATCTCACACAGAACTTGTGAGGTAGGTTCCCTCGCTTTATAGGTGAGACAGAAAGTAAGACAGTTAATTTAAATGACTTGCTTAATATCACACAGTGAGTCAGTGCTAAAGCTGAAAATAGAGCTTATGCCTCCCGGTTCCTCGCCCGGTATTTAATCATCAAACCAGACTTAGCTCAAAGTTGAGAGAACTTCTTAAATGTCTAAAGTAATTGCTCTCAGTTGCATATTAGATTCTTATGTTTTAATTGTCCTGAGTAGTTAAAGTGCTTGCTCTCTTTGATCGCTTCAGGTTACAGCTGGACAAATTTTGTTTACAATAATATTGAACTTTAAAAATGCTCCTACACTCTGCCAAGGCAACAAGGAGCACACAGCTCGGAGCAGTCCCAGTCTTGCTCTCACTGTAGCAATGCCTCTTATCACGTTCCCAGCAGCAGTTCCCTAAAACAATATCCACCACTGCAGTAAATGGAGCAGAGTAGAGCTGTTGCCCCACAGAAAGCAAGAGCTAAACTGCTGCTTACGCTGCCATGGCTAATTGAAAATGTAGCCTGAAGCACACAAAAAAGCAACTGCTTCTTAAGCAATACCTGCTTTAATGTGCAATTCTGAACTCGATGTTGTGTCATTCTGGAATAAACCTAGTGAGGTCGCTGTCACTATCACAGAAAGGGTGCAGTGCTTAAAAACATATTTAAGTGAATAGGACCTAGGTTCAAGCTAATGGTGTGTGTGATGTATCAGGCCAATGGTATTAAAAAAAAAAGTATATAACAAGACTGTATATAACGAAAGCTTTATAGACTTCCTGAGCATATTCCACTTTTAATTTTGTGCTGATGTGATATAGATTTTTCCAGTCCTCACTATTTTAATTGGTAGTGGGTAACTGCTTTTATTCTTTATTATTATTATTTCCAGAAAATACCTATGTAGACATGAGAGAGAAAGAAAGTGAGAGGAAAGAGAATGGAGAAATAATATTGCTGTGGCTTCTTCCGTGCCAAACCTGAATACAGACACAGCTGTCTGTTATGCAAGCTCAGCCAGAGCTCAGAATCAAACACTATTTCTGGCATGCACAAGAAAAGCAGTACAAGGCTGTGGTCAGCTCCGAGATTTTATAAACACTTTTGCTATGAAAAATGCATAGGGCACTGCCATGTTAATTGCAAGTTTGCAACAGAATACCTTAAAAATTCATCCACCTCATTGCTGAATGCAACTTACACTCCTAGGTGGTGAAATCAGTCAGGAAGCTTTGGCATGTCTTATGGAAGCAACTCAAAAGTACTTTAACATGTTGTATTTGTAAAGGAACAGAAGCGACATGTTTAGCCTGCTAACCTGGGGGTCAGGCAGAAGATTCAAGGGAAGAAGCCAAGCAAGATTCTCCAAGATAGTCATTCTGTCTCCTACCCAGGGTCAACACTTCTAATTTTCCATGTTGTTTTCCATTTAGGTCTATCTTCTCTTTAACTGTGAACATATTTGACACTTGTCACTAGCAGTGGGTCACCAGTGATCAGCTGCTATAGGTCAGAGCGCTGCTCCACCTTCTCTCTCACTTTCTGTTAAGAACTAAGGTATTTTGCTCACAGACTTCAAAAAAGAGCCCAAGACCAAGGCCTAGAGATGCTCCCTCGCAAGGGAGTTGTTGAAAACCACACATGAATTGTGCAGTACAAAGTGGACAGGAGAAAACTTGCTTTGACTTTTATAGACTTTGAAACCAAATCAAAAAAAGGACTACAAATAACTGAAAACATTTACACGACTATTCCTTCCTGTCCCCTTTTGTCTATGGCTCCTATGACTAACCCACCAAATGTGAGCAATAACGTTTGAGGATCGGCAAATTTTAATTAAACATTAGGTAATATTTGTGGAAAAGAAATACATAGATGTGCCTAGGTTTCTTGAAATTTGGGAGTTGAAACAATACGTTGTGATCAGTATATCTCATCAAAACTAATCAAAAGAGTAGAAATTATTACAAATGAAATACGTGTGTGTACAGTTCCTGAGCAGAGCGTCACTGTCAGCAACCATCCAGCTAATAGCTGTGAAGGATGAGRCAGTCTGAGCAAATCAGAAATTGTTCAGGGACCATCTGAATGAGAATGGCAGATTTATAATTTGTGATCTCGTTTGAGAAGAGCTCTGAGAAAATATGAGCCTTGAATTGTGGATCTGGAAAGAGTTAAACTTACATCATCCACTGCTGAGGAGAGGATATATTAAGCCAGTCTATATCATTAATTGGATATGATTCCACTTTAAACATTAAATTTATTTAAGAGCCAGTTGTCAGTGAAAACCTGAATGTGTCTCACCTACCTTGGTAACCTCCTTACTAGTCACTGCTCTTATATAGATACATCAGAGTCTTGTTTTATTGATTCAGCACAGACACGTCGAGAATGTCAGTTATTTGCAGCACTGAGGATTATAGGCAGGGCAACAATATGTGTTTTGAAAGATATATGTTATTTTCCTTCATTCCCTATAAAACAGGAGAGAAACTGAGGTACTCTTGAAGTGTTAATATAATAAATACATTGTTATGTAGATTCGATTTGCAGAATAGAGAAAGCATTTGTGGTAATATGTTGCTTATACATCAGAACCAGCAAAAGAAAAGAAAGTGAAAAGAAATGCATGATGAGAGGATCGACCAACTTAATTCAATTATGCAAGCACTGTGAAAGGTATAAAATTAATGACTACCACAAGTGATGAAAAATGCACTGTCAGTTATCTTCGACTACATTAATTAAAAAAGGTGGAGTTAGTAATGCAGGCAAGGTACATTTTTCCCTACATTCCATATGATGTGTTAATCATGACACTATAAAGATCCAAGTATCTTGGATCGTGCAGCTT